TTATGAAATAGGAAAAAAATGTTCTAATAGGAAAGGGAATTAGGGAAGGGTAGAGGGAAAGGAAAAAGGGGGAAAATTATAAAAGAAGTACAACTGGAAATAAATATTTTGTAAATAAGGAGGAAAAGAAGGTTGAAGGGTATGTAGAGGAATAAGAAAAATTATGTAAGATTCGTCATATACAGGTTCAAATTTTCTATGGTGAGTGTGATAATTATGTATATCTAAAATGTAAACAAATTTGAGAAAGTTCAAAAAACATAGCCTGAAATACTAGAAGTTGAAGATCTAAAAATATGTCAACAAAGATCCCCTAAGCAAGGGCTGGCCAGATAGATTAAAGCACCTGCTTAGGCAGAGTGCAGCGGCTGGGATTCAATCCCCAGCCTGCTGTGCTAGATCTGGCCTTGAGGGATCCTGAGACGATTCAGATCGGGCATGGTGGTGAACAGCTGTACTCCCAGTGCTTAGAAGGCTGAAAACAGGAGGATCACTATGAGTCTGATCTATGTAGTGAGATCCTGTAGACCCTATACACTTTATACCACATAGATTTTTAAAAATCCCCTAAGCATTTTGAAAGTTTTCCTTTTTGAAAAGTATCTAAATAAGTTTTAATAAATGGATTTTTATAGATTTGAACATATGTAGACAAATGAACAGATGCAGTGCAATTGACATTCATAATAATTTAATTCTACTTGGATGGCTTACCAATGGTAAGATTTACTCAAATTATTGACATTCTCCGAAAAACATATGATCTTTGGTCTCCTTCCACACCACATTTACACAAGAAATCTACTATGAAGAAAATACATGAGTCTTATATGTTGACTATGAATACATTCATAATAATTTGTGTAAGCAAATAATTAATTTCCCATTTTGTAGTGAGAACTTCTTGCAAGAAATGCCTGCCTGCAATAAAAGAACTTCAGCATGCAAATAAGAAAATGTATATGCTAGCTTTAGTCTATCATTCTACTTGAAATATTTGTTTAGCCTTAATTACACTTTGGAGTAATCAAATGAGATAAGAATTTTGGGGGGATCGTAAGTCTTAATTTGAATTCCAGTTACTGTCTATCTTGTTTAAGTCAGGACTGTAGAAATGTAAGCTGTCTATCTATTCTCTAAAACTGAGCCATACATATTTCTTTCTATGTAGTCTTCCTCTCTCTTATAAAATCTAAGTACAGATTCAAGTTGTTCCACTCCACTTAAATTAGAACCTAAATACTTATATTATTACATTTCATCTGAATTCATTCAGATTTTAGATATAGAGGATAAATCTTAATTTATTTAAACAGGCTGGGGTGGTTTAGGAAGGTTAGAAGACTGGTAAGAGGGGTATAAGCCTGCGTTGCTTTGATTTCTACTTTGTTGTCCCTGCCTTCCTTCTTATTCATGATGCACATTATATTTCTATGTATGGGGAAGAGTACATCCTTTTACTACTAGTATTTTTCATTTGTTCCTAGCAAGAGTATTTTCAGCAAGAATTTTAAATTTAATAAATATGTAGTGTGAAATTGTAAAGAAACAATTTATTAAACTTCAGTTTGTAAGTACAAGTCTATGTTTAATGTATGTTTTCCTTAACTCTTGTTTTAATTTTACAATTTTGAAAATTTTCAACTAGAGAGTCCTATGTTTGTGAATATCCATTCTTTTATTGCATATTTTAATATATTTCCATTTTTATTTCTTTATTTTATTTAAAATCATATACAGTGTAGAGGCAAACATGTCTTAGGTGTTAGTAGTAACGATAGAAGTTTTAAGTTAGTACAGTAGAGAAGGGAGTAATATTTTCAGTAATTTCCTTTCCACTTTTTTCTTTTCCTTTGTTATGATCTTGATTATGGTTATTTGAAAGTTTTATTTTGTGATAACAAATGAAAGACAAAAGTGCTTTTTAAAACATCTTAAAATATGAATAAAGCAAATTTCTTTGTCTAATTCATTTC